GGGGGGGGGGCGTCCTGCGTCTCTCGGGCGCCCGCAGTGCCCGCGGAAGAACCGCGTTCTGCTCCTTGAGCGCCCCCTGCCTGCAGCCCTCCTCCTTCCCGGGGCGGGCGGGCAGCTTCCAGCGGTGCGGGCCGGCCCGCCCTAGTAGTAGCGGTTGAGGCTGCGGGTGCCCGGCACCTCGGGCTGCCCGTTCATCCAGATCTCCCTGAGGATGCGCTCGCGCTCCTCCAGCCGCTGCGCGCGCTCCAGCTCCTCCGCCGACGTGAACACGTTCTTGTTCAAAGTCCGCTCGAAGCGCCGGTGTCTCCGGACCGAGAGGTCAGACGCCGTGTCCGAGCTGCCATCCTCGCTGTCGCTGCTGTCGCTGCTGCTCTCGGGGTCCTGCAGGAACCTCTTTCGGGGCCGCCGCCGCCGCCGGCAGTCCGTGCGGCAGGAGAGCCTGGTCACCAGCGCGGCCAGCGTGAGGACCAGGCCCACGCACACGCCCGACACGAAGTACAGGGCTGCTCGCTCGGGGTTCTCTGCGGGAGCAGAAAGCACGCATTTGAGAGACGACAGCTCCACCCCCCGCCCCACCCCCATACACCTCTCACCAGACCCCGAAGCTTTTTATATTGCAAATAGTGCCTTCCCCTGTGACCCACTGCACCATGCATTCAACACAGACTTACCACCCCCACCCCCAATGGTGAATCTGGGTAACGAGTGTCTGAGATTCCTTTACTCTTCTTGCAACTTTAAATAGGAAATTATTTCAAAATGAAAAGCTAAGAGAAAAATATTTAGCACCTACCATAAGGAAGCGACTGTGCTTAGGTGTCATTTGATTAAGAGATGTATCTGTCTGAAGCTCACTGGGGCCTCTACTAGAAAAACCTTTGCTTCTGACTTTCCTCCTGCGACCCCTTGAATAACCTATTAATCATATTTGTAGGCGGCGGCTTCTTCGTCGTCGCCGTCTTCCAATTCCTCCTCTTTTGATAATAAATTTATAAATAAGGCCAAGGTGAAAGGGTCTCCTTTATTCTAAATACACCACGACAGGCCTGGTCAGCAAATGTAAGCAGCTTCTAAGACGCCCCTCCCCACACACTTCTTGGTATTCACACTTCTATGCAAGGCCCTCCCTTTGAGAGCCAGACCTAGCGGGCTGGACCCAGTGACTTACTTCTAACAAACAGAACAGGGCAAAGGTGATGGGCGAGTCTAAGAATAGGTGACACAAGACTAACTTTCAACTTGTTCATGCTCTTTCTCTGGCTCTTCGCAGTTGCTCAGCCTGATGAAACCAGCTGCCATGTTGCAAGCTGCCCGACAGAGAGGCCCACGTAACAAGGAACTAAGCATGGCCTCTGGCTAACAGCCTGCAAAGAACTTAAATCATGTCAATAGCCAAGTGAGTGAGCTTGGAAGTGAATCCCCCTGGTGGAGCCTTGAGGTGGTGACCACAGCCCTGGCCTTGCAGAAGCCTTGTGGGAGACCTTGAATGAGAGAACCCAGCCAAGCCAAACCCAGATCCCTGACCCGCAGACACTGAGAGATAATAAATGTATGTTGCTTTAAGTCACTTAAGTTTGGAGGCAAGTTGCTATGCAGTCATAATTTATACAATCACGTATTGAAAGCCAGTGTAGGCATTATGGAATGACCTGGTCAGGTTAATTTGCAGAGGAGGAATCTGAGCTCTTCCTTGGTGAGAGAAGAAAATAATCATCTCATAGATAAGCAATATGCTTAGTGTGCCCCGTGATGATCGCTGTATGACGTGCTCAACAGAATGAGAGCCTTTGGGTGAACAGCTTTCCCGTTCTAGGTAAGTGTGAGAACATGGGACATGCCTGGCCTTGAGTCACAGAGCATGGTCAATCTCACAGGACCTACAATTGACACCAGCAGTTTGGTCTTCCATAATCTATATTCACTGGTAAGTTTGAATTAGAATAGACATTGTTTTGTGGGGGTTTTGAGACTGTAAGTGAGGTCATATATGATTCACATTTGCTTTCTAAATTTAAGGATATCTCTTAAAGAGATTTCCAGACATGCCAACAGCATTCTTTTTTAAACTCTTTTTATCCTCACTTGGGGACAGATTTATTGATTTTAAAGAGAAAGGAAGGAAGAGAGAAAGAGAGAGAAACATCGATTGGTTGCCTCCCATACGCACCCTGACCAGGGATCGAACCCAAAACCTTTTGTTGTATGGGAAGATGCTCCAACCAACTGAGCTACCTGGCCAGGGCAGCATTCTTTTTGCCTGCTGCACAGTATTCTGTAGTATAGACCTATCAAAGTTTATCTAACAATCTCTTTATTGATAGCATATAAATTGTTTCTAATTTTTCACCATTATGATCAATGCTAGAGTCAGTGTTCTTGTATACATCTCTTTATGCACAAGTAGAATTATTTCTACAGGTTAGTTATCTAGAAATGGCTGCATCAAAGGGCATAGGCATTTCAAACTTTTATGCATTCTAAATTATACCCCAAAATGCTCTATCAGTCCAAACACAGCATATTGAACATACGTGTTTATGATCCCCCCTTCTCTCTAAAACCCCCACCGAAATGACAGGGATGTAAATAAAATAAATAAAAATTATAGGTACAAAGAGAAGAGTAGAGAAGAAAACAGAAAACAAGAATAGTCAATACAAGGATAGTCAACAAGCGATGCAAATGCAGGGAAAGGGCAGTGACATCAGCAAGTAAGCCATCTCTCCTTTTTGCTCCCTCCCCCTTTTTAACAACTAATTAGGCATCCATCAACAAACACAAGTTTCTCTGTGGGAGTTGTGTGTTCAAACAACATGTGCCAAGGGACCCAGGAAGAATCTTGCCCATCTGTCATCTGGTCATAGGCTGAACCACCTCAGTTTCAGCTGCAGAACCAGCAGAGCTAGCAAGCTTGTCCTGAACCCTCCCAAAGAGGTTGGGGAAAACCTAGAGAGTGCTGACTTGGGCAAACATAGACAGAGAGAATGTGTAAATCCATCCTTCCACAGGGGAGATTCTAGTACACCATCGGAGCAAACAAACAAAATGAGTTGGCATTCAGCAGAAAGGGGAAGAGAAACTCCCAGCACTGCCCCTCTCCTAAAGTGACAAAGCACAGGACTGACTATCCCATGGAGGCCTTTCCACAGTGGGAAGAGATCAGTGTGTGAATGCCCAGCTACCCCAGCTGTGCTGGGTGCTGCAGAAAAAAACGATTTCTCTTCAACACCCAGAGTATTGATGCAGGATCTCCATGACTGGAAGGAGGGACGAGATCAGGAAAGGCAGGTAAAAATATCAAAGGGCACTAAAGTGACAGGTTTACTGTTGCCTGCACTCAGGAGTTCAGCAGCAAGTCCACCCAGGAGCCTCTGGGAGGCTTCAGCCAAGGATCTCTCCACCAGCTGGCAGGCACCCTCAATACCCCAAGTGCTAAACCCACATCTGCCCCACTCTGCGGTGGCTCCTTGCACACTCTCCAAGACTGACAGCAAGTGAGTTTGGTAAATGGAGTGATATCAGAAAAACAGAGCAGGATCTGTGGGCAAGAGAGAAACCAGAAACTTGATCTATAGCACCACCTTCTGGAAACAAAAGAGAAGTTTCCAGCAACCAACCAGGTGAATTGTAAAAACCAGAAAAGACATAAAAGCTTAAGAATTCTGCTAGAAGCAGCAGCAAGAAATGTGGAGCAGGTGTATAAATACAATGTCAGAGAGTACGTCAGGTACAACAGGATCAATAAACAATATACCTCATGTGCAGGCAACTAGTGAAGATTTGAGGAGCTGTTCCCTACACAAAAGCAAAATCAGCAATACAAAACTAAGGAACATGAAGAATTAAATAATAAAGCCATCACCAAAATATAATAACCCTTCAAATAACTGAGCTCAAAGGCACAGAATCTTGCAATCTAGTGGGAAAAAAATTCAAAATAGCTCTTTTGAGGAAACAATGAAAGACAAACACAAAAGACAATACAACAAAATCAGGGAGGAAAAAAACAAACAAACATGAACAAAATGAGAAGTTTAGCAAAGAGACAGAAACTATAAAAAAGAACCAAACACAAATTCTGGAGCTGAAAAATTCAATGAATGAAACAATTTCAGTACAGGGAAACTGCAGCAGGGCAGATCAAATGGAAGACAGAATGAGCAACCTAGATGATAGAAACCTTGAAATAACCCAATTAGAGGTGAACAAAGGAAAAAGAATGAAAAAAAGTAAAGAAAGCCTACATGATGATCTATGGGATTCAATCAAACATACAACTATTAGCATAATAGGTGTCCAGAGGAGAAAACAGGAGGGAGGGATCCAAAAGTTTATTTGAAGAATAGCTGAGAACTTCCCAACCCTGGGGAGAGACATGGGCATCCAAGTTCACAACGTCAACAGATCACCCTTTAATCTCACGCAAAAAGACCTTCTCCAAAACACATTATAATGAAACTGTCAAAAATCAAAGAAAGAAAGATTCCTAAAAGCAGCTGAGAAAATACTGTAACCTCCACAGGAACCCTCACTAAGCCATCAGCAGATTTCTCAGCAGAAATCCTACAGGCCAGGAAAGTAGAATGACATATTTAAAGTGTTGGGGGGAAAAAAACTGCCAGCCAAGAATACTTTATCTGGACAAATTATCCAGATATGAAGGAGGGATACGTTTTCCGGAGAAACAAAAGCGGAGGGAGCTCATCACCGTTAGATTTGCCTTGCAAGAAATGCTGAAAGGAGTCCTTCAAGCTGAAATTAAAAGATGCCAATTAGTGACATGAAAACATATGAAAGTATATAACACACTTGTAAAGCTAAATATATAGTCAGACTTAGAAAACTCTAGTTCTGTAATAGGATAGTGTGTTAGCCACTTAATTACAGGATAAAGGTTAAAGGTTAAAGAAGTAAAAATAATGTTAACTACTACAATCTGTTAATAAAGACACAATATAAAAAGAGATAAATTGTGACATCAAGAATATAAAGAGGGAAGTAAAAGGGTGGAGCTTTTGTATGCAATTGAAAGCTTTCAATCTTTCACCAATGTTATGATGTTAGCTGTGGGTTTGTCAGTTAGGATTTTATTATATTGTGGTATGTTCCTTTTAGACCCAATTTGTTGAGGGTTTTATCATCAAAGTATGTTGTTGTAGTTCATCAAGTCCTTTTTATGCATCTAATGAGGTGAGCAAGAACAAAGAAGCAGATGAAATGACTATCTCAAAGAGAAACCTGCATTCCCATGTTCATAGCAGCATTATTTACAATGACCAACACATGGAAACAACCGAAGTGTCCATCAGCAGATGGAAGAATACACATACAAACACACACATATATATGTGTGTANTTACAATGACCAACACATGGAAACAACCGAAGTGTCCATCAGCAGATGGAAGAATACACATACACACACACACATATGTATGTGTGTATATATATATATGAAAATTCAGCCCTAAATAAGAAAAATCCTGCCATTTGGTACAACATGGATGGATTTTGGGAGCAC